ACCTGCATCGGCAGGCGGACTCAACCACTGCGCCACCAGGGAAGCCCCTAAAATAAATTTTTTTTAAAAATTAATAAGTAAACTTAAGAAGTTTCCAAGTAATTTGAAGTCATGGTTTTTACATTTCGTGGCTAAAAATAAAATTTATATAACTAAGTGGGAATAGGATTCTAAATGCTTTCATTTTAGAAGTGTCAAATGTTAAACCTTGTATATGCTTACCTTAGTAATAGATTCTTCTGCAATTTAGAATCAGTTTAACAGATATATAAAGGCCACTCGAATGGAGTAGAAGTCTATTATTAAGCATATCTTCTTATTCTGAACCTTAAAACTCCCAGAGGGCAGATTCCTTTCATATGTCCTTGTCCCTGAGGTCCCCATGTGGTGCGTTGTACTTAATTACTTAATAAATGTTTATGGAATTAGTAAATTGGAGATTGACTAATGTGAAGAATTTTATTTCCTTGAGTAGTTATCAAATAAGACCCTGTTCCCCTGCTGTGTGGCCCCCTCCTCTATTTTATTTTCCTGATTGTCAGCTAGGTGTCTTCATTCTGCCTTATCACCCTCCCAGCACACACACATGTTCTTTTGTGAATGTATTTTTTAAAAGGATCTGGGATGGAAGTTGAGGGAGTGTTTAATAATAAGGTTGACATGGCATTATCTACAAGTTTATCCATGTAAGAAATGATTATATCATTTTTCTGTTACTGGTTGCTTTTCACCAAATTTGAAGGATATTTTGGGGTGGTCTCATTTAAAATATAGATTGCATGCTATATATAAAATTAACTTTGGTTGGCCCTGGAGGGGAACACCTCAGAATTTTCCAGAGAATTTTAAACCGGGGTACAGCAAGAGGCCCATGTAATTCTAACCTGTAGAAACAGCACCATATATATTATAAAGTCTCTATGATCAGAGAAGATACTTTCATGTAAAACCCAGCATGGAAGTCACATTGGATTTGAAGTGTTAGTTTGCGATTAGTTCTTTTCATGTGAGCAGATCTACATAATATGCTTCCATTTAGGGATTTGCTAATTTAAATGTGGTTAATGCTTTACCAGGACAAGGCTTCCTTGACCAGCTAGTAGAGATCAGATTAGTGCTGTTGATAGGTAGGAGAGACACAACCATCATAGTGTATCCTCTTTTCCTGCTACCTAAGAATGCTGTTGACTTTTCCCTTGGGATAGGGGGCTTATTATTTCATGGTGTCAGGCATTTGTGGGGAGCTGTTGGTGACTTAAGGAACCCCAATAGTTATGAGACCTATACAAAGCCCAAAAGTTAGTGGAAAATTGGGAAATCTGCATAGGCCAGAGCTGCAGTTCTAGTCGCTACATAAGTTGTTGCAAAGAAGGAAGTAAAATTGGCACAGGTTGGAATGTGGGACCACCTTTGGCTTGCTGATCATTGCAGAGCCTATGAAATGGAGACTGAGTGTTCCTCTGCTGGTCACTAATTGAGGACTTCAGACTGTATTTGTCCAGAAGGAAAGATTTTTTCATCTTTCATTTGGGAGGCTCTATCAGCATTGTTTGCAGTTGTCTCAAAGGAATTGCATTGAACTTTTTAGCAGTTTTTAAGATAGTTTTTAACCACTTAATTTCACCTTTTTACAGTTAGTATATAAATTAAAATGACTCAATTTAGTCATTTACATGAGTAAAATAGAGATATCATATAAGTGACTATGATAGTTTGCTGAAGGGATTAGTTAAATGAAGTTTCATAGATGTGAGGCTTGTGAGCTGCCATGTGAAGAGAGGGAAACTGTGTGGACTTAGAGCTCTAAGATTGGTCAGTTGGAGTAATGCGTACATGGAAAGGTGAGGACGACCCCAGAAAATCAGAAAAAGTAAGTTTGACTAGTCTGAAATAAGAAATGGCATACGAGAACTGACAAGTAAGATGGTGATACTGGAAAGTAGAATTAAATAAAGTTTTATATTCCTGGTGTGGATATGGCTCTAAGCCCAAATTCCTTTCTGGGGTTTCTGACCTTTCTCAATGCATTGTCTCCTCCACCCCTCCCTGCCCCTCCTATATACATAAACACAGAGAAATGAGAAGAGACAGCATTAGAGTGGCAAAACAGCCCAGAGGAAAGAAAACCAAACCAAGAGTGAGGACACTTGGTTTCAACATTAGCTTTCTGACTTTAACAAGTTGCTTAAGACTCAGCATATTAAATTTGAGTTAATTAGGAATTTAATCAGCTAAAAGACAGCTTTTGTTTGGATTTTTCTGCCATAAATCTTTGGGAAGCCTGCAGATTGGGTTTTGGAATATTAATAGTTTCTCTTTCCAACTGCATATCCCTGATAATTTTGCACAAATGCAGGTAATGTCACATTAGAAAAACTTTGAACATTCATATTGTTTTTGTGACTATAGCTCTGCTGTAATAAGTAATCTGGTGGAAATCTGTTCTGCAAGAAGTAGAAATAAAGCAATTTAAACTAGTATATTGATTTACTAACTTACTGTGTTGAATATGAGAAGAATGGGCAAGTGAAAAGTAGTAGTAAGATCCAGAAAGAAGAGGTTAGAAATACAGATACCTGGGAGATACCTGGGCCCTTTTCTTCAAAGTCTGAATCTAAGTGTATTTCTGGTGATGGGGCTCAGAAATGCTTCATTTAAAAAAAAAAAAAAAACAACCCAAACTGGCGATTCTGATTAAAAGCCAGAATTGGTGTTCAGAGACTTAATTCTACTCATGAACACCTCTAAGTGCTGTCATTTTATTTTGGGGTTGTTAGGAAAACTGAGGTAGCCTTTTTTATGTTATTTTATTTATTTATTTTTTGTGGTACGCGGGCCTCTCACTGTTGTGGCCCCTCCCATTGCGGAACACAGGCTCCGGACGCGCAGGCTCAACGGCCTAGCCGCTCCGCGGCATGTGGGATCCTCGCAGACCGGGGCACGAACCCGTGTCCCCTGCATCGGCAGGCGGGCTCGCAACCACTGCGCCACCAGGGAAGCCCCTGAAGTAGCCTTTTTAAACTGTGGCAATGGGTTAGTAAAGGTTCTTAATCCTAGAATAATACAGCTATTAGATTGTAAGATTACAGGGGACATTAGCGATTATCTAATACAGAGACCAACAAACTGTGGTCCAGGGACCAAATCTGGCCCTCCACCTGTGTTGGTAAAGTTTTTTGTAACAGCAGAGGTACTCATTCCTTTATGTATCATCTATGGCTGCTTTTGTGCTACAGTAGCAGAGTTTTGTAGTTGCGACAGAGACTCCATAGCTCACAAAGCCTAAAATATTTTCTGTCTGGCCCTTTACCAAAAAAAGTTTGTGGACTTTTGAATAGATCAGACCTATCATTTTTATAGATGTAGAAACAAAACTCAAAGATAACGAGTGAAATACTCTGAGATTACACAGCCAATTGGTGGTCAGAGTGCAAAGACAATTTAGTTCTTTTTCCTGCTTCCATTCCACGATTTTTTGTTGGAGGTACTGATGCCTGGGTGAAATCAGAAAATAAATTTGTGGTACAGTTTTGCTTATAAGTTCATTCTTTATTATATTACAAGATGTAGTTCCTAGGGACAATAGTCTTAGATAACACAGCTGTACAAAAATCTTTTTAATTTGGGTCGGGGGTAGAATTTGATTGTTGTATATTCTGTGTCCTGAGTACAAATCTTTGATTTGCTCTGCCAAGCAGTTTGATAACAGAATCCATTATTGTTGCTGTGCAGCCAAATGGACGGACCATCGAAGTGGCTGAGGAAGAGGTCGTCCGAACTCCTCGGAGTGCAGCAGCTAAGCAGCCATTAGAGACACACAAGAAAAATGAAAAGGTCAGTTGGGAGCATGTGAAATTATATGCAAGGCTCTTAATAAAGAGAGTGACATATAAAATGTTACATGTACACCCCCATTTAAGGAAAACTAAAAATCTGAATTTATCATAGCGATGGATGGGTGGTGGAGGTTTCAGTAAGTTGGTTTTGTTTGTTTGTTAAGGAGGGATGTATCACCAAGTATTTTAAACATTGCTGTGACATTATTAAGTTTTCATTTTGCCAGAAACAATTTATTCATGACTTGAACATCTTTTATATGAGTAAGGTTCCAGATATGTAACATACCTCTTATTGGAAAACAAAATTGTGATACCTTTGTTAATAGTGCACTTTTGGCATGGAAAGCTTGGCAAAATTGTTCTATGGTATTAAGTGTTAATATAGATTTCTATTGTGACAGCGACATAATCATCTACTTATTAGATACAATTTGAATTTGTTTAACAAAGGAAAATATTCTGTACTCAGGTCATTATTAAAAGGTTTGGATGTGCACTCTAAGTTTTCAAATAAGACAATCTATTATACCCCGTTAATGGTACATTCCTGGGATTTAGTCATTTTCCAGTTGCCAGTGTTAGAAGCATCCCGTTTTTATTTGACTTAATTTAGTTTGTAAGTAGGCAAAATGTACAAGACTCTGTTAACAGTGGTACCTCCTGCTGTGGGCGAGAGACTTTTTATTTAATTCTTTTTGGTACATTAAAATTTGCAACCTCCCCCTGCTTTTTTTTTAACCCTTGCATGCATAACTCCTTTTCAGGGAAAACGAACAAAAAACAACCACAGGTAGGTAAGTGGTTTCTAGGAACCAAGGTGCCACAACTCCAGCCCTGTAGAGTAGTGGTGTTAGTGCTCATAATTTCAAAATACCACTGAAGAACTGGCGAGATCAATTCTGCCCTGTAACCCGGTGAAATTGGTCTAGGGCCAAGACAGCTGCAGGTAGGATGGCTTAAAATGAAAGATGGTTGTGGGAAAGAAATATATGTCTGACTTTGCCTTTGGCAGAAAAATAAATAGTAAATTACTTTTATTAACAAATAAGCATACAATTTAGGGATTGTGAATTTACACTGTGAAGAGCTTATATGCTTAATGTAGATGTATACTTCTCCCATCTAGTGTTTCCTTGTTCCTGGGCTTTCTCTCTACTAGTGAGCATTTTATACTTAACTCCTGCTTCCACTCCCTGAATTATCCTGAAAAATCTGTAGTTGGAATAATTAATCAACTACCATGCATCTCTGATTGATTAATTATATATAGATTGTATGTATCAGGATGTAAAACCATAGTTTAAAGTTTTAAATAATTCTGAAGTCTCTTATGTTAGAAAGTAATTATAATGGTTGACATTTGTTAAGTATCTAAAACATGGCAGGCACTGTGCAAGGTGAGGTCTATGTATATATCGTACATATTTACTTCGTACATAATTACTTGTTTAATTATAAGTATATTTACTTATAATATAGTAGGGACAACTTATTGAGCACTTACTGGGTGTACTTTTAAGACTTTATAGAATATTTATACATGTTACTTTAATTATCCTCGCAAGAATGCTGAGGAGGTGGTATCACACCTATCTTACAAATAAGAAACCCGAAACTTAAGTTACCTAAGCTTTTAAAAGTACAGTCAGGGGCTTCCCTGGTGGCGCAGTGGTTGAGAGTCCGCCTGCTGATGCAGGGAACGCGGGTTCGTGCCCCGGTCTGGGAGGATCCCACATGCCGCGGAGCGGCTGGGCCCGTGAGCCATGGCCGCTGAGCCTGCGCGTCCGGAGCCTGTGCTCCGCCACGGGAGAGGCCACAGCGTACCGCAAAAAAAAAAAAAAGTACAGTCAGTTCTAACCTAGACCCATCTGACTCCAAAGTCTGTGCTTTTTTACTGCTCTGTATTATTTCTGATCCTTTCAAAAACTCTTCCAGGCAAAGAGCATTAGTCCCATTTACAGATAAAGGCTCTGAAGCATAGAGGGATTGTGTGATTTCTCTAAGTTCATACGTAGTTTCTGAACTGGGATTTGAACCCAGCTCATTCTGATGCCAAAGCCCATGTGCTGTTTAATCACTTGACAGAACCACCTCCTTTCAGTTGCCATTGCATTTTTAGTGCAAGGCTTCTAGCTTTGGTTTGTCGCCTATTTGATTTGACTTTTTGCATAATAATAAATGCTACCACTCACGCTTAATGTTTCTTTTCGCAATCCTACATCTTGAATTTATGCTTTTTAACTTGGTTCAGTCCAGGTGACTCTCATTTCAGTTAACTTTTTATGCTATTGTGCTGTATGCTTTTGTGTGTTTTAAATATGTGGGGGTTTTTTTAAGACTTCTTACTGTCTTTTTTCGTAAATAAACATCTTAGGTCTACTTATGCACCTAAATATATATTATTATGTATTTGTTTTCCTCTCAGAGCCACATTAGGCACTTTAAGAAATACAGTTTGCCCGTAAAGCAGTTGCACTCTATGCAGTGACTTTTTTTTTTTTTTTTTGGCGGTACGCGGGCCTCTCACTGTTGTGGCCTCTCCTGTTGCGGAGCACAGGCTCCAGACGCGCAGGCTCAGCGGCCATGGCTCATGGGCCCAGCCACTCTGCGGCATGTGGGATCCTCCCGGACCAGGGCACGAACCCGTGTCCCCTGCATCGGCAGGCGGACTCTCAACCACTGTGCCACCAGGGAAGCCCATATGCAGTGATATTAAATACCTTGTCCTGTCACTTGAGTAAGCCTCATAGATAAAACTGTCTAAAAACCGTATATGACAAGAGCTACAGATATTGGGTCTGTAAAGCAACTTAAGCTACCAGGTCCATTTGGATATGAAGGTTAATGCTTCATTGATGCTAGTGTCTAGTAGAGTATACATTGGATCATTAGCCAGGCTGAATGCATTGTGCTATTTGATGATGAAGAGAATAAGGAGAAATGTAAGATGTACTTACCCTCAGAGAGATTACAGTCTAGTTAAGGAAAGGCAAGCATAAGATAAGATACCAGGTAACATACTGGCCTTGAGTGTCAGGTATTCAGAGAAGTAAGATTATCCTATTTGGGTAGCCAGAAAAGATTGACTTAATTGGACTCTTGAGGATGGGGATGGTATTTCAGTGAGTAGAAGTGGGGAGGCCAATTTTGGCAGGGGAGAGAAACAAATGAACACAGTCAGTCATTGTTCAGCTGATACAAAACAACATATTCAGACTCAAGAGGAAGCCCTAGACAGGTTTGACTGGTCAGGGTGGGGTAGGGTATGATAAAAACTTAGATAATGCTCAGCTGGCAGCAACATTTGTGATTAACAAATCAGCATTGCATCTGTGATTGTAAAGGTCTGAATTAAGATAGAAGTGTAAAGATGGTTAGTAAGAAAAATAGCAAAAGCAAAAATGTATAAAATTTGGTCACCATCAGGTTGTTGCAGACAAAGTCAGTGGTTCCTACTGAAATACTCATTCATTATAAATATTAACAAGTTCTTACATTTTCGTGATGCTACACAGAGTACAAAATGTTTTCACATCTCTTAATCCTAATGCACAGGGAGGAGGGTATTATCATTTTTTTTATACAGCTCATTGAAAAGAGTTTAATGAATTGCCCAGGATCACATAGCTAGTAAGTAATGCTCTCTCAATTTCTTTGAGGTAGCAGTTTCAAAGTATGGTCTGTGGACCCCTGTGAAGGCGTTCCAGGGACCTTTTTTGGGTCCCAGAAGACAAAACTGTTTTCAGAATAATTAAGACATTGTTTATCTTTTCCACTGTGTTAATATTTGCATTAATGGTGCAAAAGCAGTAGTGAGTAAAACTACTGACTCCTTAGTACAAATAAAGGCAGTGACACCAAGCTATTTGTAGTTGAATTCTTTACTGCAATCCACTTACTTGGGGAAAAAAAAGGAAAAAAAATTAAAAAGCTAATTCCACTTAAGAGTATCCTTGATGAATCTGAAAAAATGATCATTATTCATTTTATTAAATCTTGACTTCTGAATACATGCCGTTTAATTATTCTGTATGATGAAATGGGAAGTATGCATAAAGTATGCTCTATACTGAAAAACAGTGGTTGCCTTGAGGAAAAACACCTGTGCAGTTGAGTTGCAAGCTGGACTAGCCACTTATTTCTTGTTACTCCATTTTTACTTGAGAGAACAACTGATAGACCATGGTTATTTAGAGTTGGGTATTTGTAGACATTTTCTCAAAAATAATCAAGACAGTTCAAGGAAAACAACTGATAGTACTGTTGCAAATGATAAAATGATTTGTTGCCAAGTGAAAATTAGAAATTTGGAAAATTTGTGTCTACCACCATGAACTTGACAACATCCCAGTACTTAATGAATTTCTGATGAGATCAGCAGTGATGTTAACAAATGTGTTGGGTTTCTTTTTAATATTGTATATAATGGATTGGGGTTTTTTGTTTGTTTGTTTGTTTTTATCTATTTGGTTGCACCAGGTCTTAGTTGCAGCAGGCGGGCTCCTTAGTTGCAGCTCAAGGGCTCCTTAGTGGCAGCTCACCGGCTCCTTAGTTGTGGCATGAGAAATCTTAGTTGGGGCATGCATGTGGGATCTAGTTCCCTGCCCAGGGATCGAACCCGGGCCCTCTGCATTGGGAGCGCACAGTCTTAACCACTGGGAGACCACCAGGGAAGTCCCCAGAATGGTTTTTGTTTTTTGGGTTTTTTTATAAATTTTATTTATTTATGTATATATGTATGTATGTATGTATGTATTGGCCGCGTCAGGTCTTCCTTGCCGCACGCGGGCTTTCTCTAGTTGTGGCGAGCGGGGACTACTCTTCGTTGTGGTGCGTGGGCTTCTCATTGAGGTGGCTTCTTTTGTTGCGGAGCACACACTCTAGGTGCGCAGGCTTCAGTAGTTGTGGCGCAGTGGGCTCTGTAGTTGTGGCTCGTGGGCTCTAGAGCGCAGGCTCAGTAGTTGTGGTGCACGGGCTTAGTTGCTCCGCGGCATG